GTTATGTGTAGGATAAAACATGTCCGAGGATTTTATGATATTGAAGACCTGCATCTGTGGGATAAACCTGAGGAGCATCCTCTGGAAAGATGACACTTCCATTCTGTTTGATTTGTTTATGGAATGGTGACCTGTATTGACCATTGCCCAAACAAATGTAAAGAAAAGGCTCTGGTTAAAATGTCTGTCTTCTCCTGAACGTTCAGACACACAGTTTATCAACCTGAAGCTACACAGAACACAACACTATTACATGTTGCCATTGTATTATATGTCTGTATACTCCTGAACGATCAGACACACAGTTTATCAACCTGAAGCTACACGGAACACAACACTATCGGTGTACTTCTGAACATTAAGCATGTTTCCTGTTCCTTGTTTCAAATGTACAAAACTGGAGAAAATGACTGTGGAAACAATGAACTCAATTCATTCCATGCAATTTCAATTAATTTAGAGAAATTGAATCAAATCATTTGTTGTGACAAAGTCGAACGCTTGTTCTTCAGATATCAAGTCCGACAAATCTTCAATCATTTAAATAAGTCATCACACCACAAGAAGCTAGACAGGCAAATGAAATGTTCACATGTTTATAACAGGAAATATGTGTAATAGGAAGTCACTTGGTAATTAATAGTATAAAAGTATAAAAATAGCTATCTTCCAGTGTCACTACTTATTGTTCGAGTAAATAATCCACAGCCCTCGGTACTTTGCGTGCATGCGATCTCTCATGACATAGGTCAGGGAAGTAATCTGTCCAACATGACCTTCGGCTCAAGGGACACACCTCTGCTTACAAGGAATTAGAAGGGAGTATCTTCCAGCAACTAAACCGACTATCACTGTCGATGCAGATCCGAGACATTTCTGGGTGTAACTGAAGGTGGTGCTGCACATTAATTAATTACACAATCCAGTTTAGCCCACTGCCTGCATTGATTAAAGTACATCTTTGTAATGAAACTCGGCCTCCGGGCATGGAAGCAGGCAAGGAAGTGTGCTGGGCCGACACTTTTTAGGGGTAACGTTATTAATGTACTTGGGATGTCATTCAGAATTCGTCATTGGTTAAATTGAGGATTGCTTCTGTTTTTTGCAATAACTCACATAATTCTTTTTGTTTAATCTTGTAATGATTTTTTTGCTGAGTAGATATTAATTGATATATTTCATTGCTTGACATTAATAAATATGTGTATCATATAATGGGTAGGTTTCTCGGCAGGATAAAGCCAATGGATAAAAACGATATCCGTTGGGGTCATATGCGGATAGAGATGCAAATATCAAAGGTCAAGTAAGGACTACTTTCAGTGTCTATAAAACAAACATGACATCGCCCTATAATTTTGGCAACTTTGGAGATGACTGTCAACAACGTCTGAACATGGCCATGACATCTCATAGACTAGGGTTAGAGTGGCTTCCCTTTGACAAAGGGCAGTTACTCTAGCAGACAGACCGATGGATTGCCGCGAAATGCATTTAAAAACAATTGTTGTTTTGAAGAAGAAATAGATTTCAGTTGGAACTATATTGGCTACTGTCACTGTCCGACTGACCCATCACTTACCCTGTGACGTCATAAATATTAATGCGCGTATTCCAGGAAAATTTGCAATGTTTAGATAATGTTTGTGAGAGAGGGAAAGCGATTTTCAAGCACAGAATTAAAAATGACATTATATGATAAAGAGGTTATCACGTTTGTGTGTTTGGGGATGTTAATTATCCTGTATTAGGAAAACACTAAATACAATGCTTATTCATAATGCAGGATATGTTTACCATCCCCCAAAACACTCGCATGATAACCTCTATTTAATAGATGAAAGAGCCCAAGGCCGTGTTGCACCACTTAATCCTTTAAAGAGGGTTTAACATGTTTATGTATACATATTTCCTTATGCATGTTATTGGTCACATTGGCCCTTTTGACACAGGTGTTACCATGGTTACAGACTATATAGTATCATTATCCATGACACCTTGGAGTTACTAGTCAGAAGATTTTAATATTGCATGTCACATATATGGACAAAATTCACTAATTGTTTCATTGTGACTAAATGCAGTTGATAATGCTTCAAAAATCTCAACAAAAACATTTATCATAAAACACAGAAGTGTACTTTTGGGTCATGGTATGTATAAATGCACGACAATTGTAATACTTACCAAAGCATCCCGTGTGCATCTGGAGAAATATGCATATATTGTGAGTATAAAAAGGCCTGAATATGTGTATTTTGTCATCATTTTCTTCATTTTGTTTACTCTGACAAGTATTCATTTCATTTCATTCCACAGACTTCCAGATCCTTTTCCATAAAGTTTGCAAGTTTATATTCATCTTGAGAAATGTTCAATTAGCAGGCATTCTATTGCCGGGTAGTTTTTAACACTGGATTAAGAGTTCAAGAAATCATGTTTGTTTAATGATGCACTAAGCAATATTCCAGCTATATGACTCACTAAATGATCCTGAGTTTGGACCAGACGATCTAGTGATTGACATCATGAGCATTGATCTACGCAATTGGGATACAATGACATGCATCAACTAAGTCAGCGAGTCTGCTCCGTTACTCACCTATTTTGACAAGAATGGGTTGCTGATGACCAATTCTAACCCGGACCTTCACAGGACCTTAATGGGGGTAGTTTGTAAGCATTCACTCATCATGCTGAAGGCATTACATATTTTTAGTTGAAAATTGTAAAAAGCAGATGAAAGAAATTAAAACATTTGTAACAGAATAAGATGTCTGACAATTAAGCAGTCCAAGAAGCCATAATCAGCAATGCATTTCTTTCATGAATTGAATCCAGTTTATGAAGTTGGCCATCATCCATGGAGATACCAACAATTTTCTGTGAACATTTAATCTGGACAGACTGATACGTCATTGTCTCCACCGATCGCTGCCTGATGGGTGGTCCACAGGTCAAAGGTTGGAAACTATTGAGCTTTGCTGTAAAGATTGTTTACAATCAGGGAGGACATTGGCCACATGCAGTTGATGGATCACAGAACATTGGCCATATGCAGTTGATGGATCATGGAACATTGGCCACATGCAGTTGATGGATCATGGAACATTGGCCACATGCAGTTGATGGATCACGGAACATTGGCCACATGCAGTTGATGGATCACAGAACATTGGCCACATGCAGTTGATGGATCACGGAACATAGGCTTCATGCAGTTGATGGATCACGGAACATTGGCCACATGCAGTTGATTGATCACGGAACATTGGCCACATGCAGTTGATGGATCACGGAACATAGGCTTCATGCAGTTGATGGATCACGGAACATTGGCAACATGCAGTTGATTGATCACGGAACATTGGCCACATGCAGTTGATTGATCACGGAACATTGGCCACATGCAGTTGATTGATCACGGAACATTGGCCACATGCAGTTGATGGATCACGGAATATTGGCCACATGCAGTTGATGGATCACGTAACATTAGCCACATGCAGTTGATGGATCACGGAACATTGGCCACATGCAGTTGATGGATCAAGGTACATTGGCCACATGCAGTTGATGGATCACGTAACATTAGCCACATGCAGTTGATAGATCACTGAATATTGGCCAAATGCAGTTAATGGATCACGGAACATTGGCCACATGCAGTTGATGGATCGCAGAACATTGGCAACATGCAGTTGATGGATCACGGAACATTGGCCACATGCAGTTGATGGATCACGGAACATTGGTCACATGCATTTGATGGATCACGGAACATTGGCCACATGCAGTTGATGGATCACGGAACATTGGCCACATGCAGTTGATGGATCACGGAACATTGGCCACATGCAGTTGATGGATCACGGAACATTGGTCACATGCAGTTGATGGATCACGGAACATTGGTCACATGCAGTTGATGGATCACGGAACATTGGCCACATGCAGTTGATGGATCACGGAACATTGGCCACATGCATTTGATGGATCACGGAACATTGGCCACATGCAGTTGATGGATCACGGAACATAGGCCACATGCAGTTGATAGATCACGGAACATTGGCCACATGCAGTTGATGGATCACGGAACATTGGTCACATGCATTTGATGGATCACGGAACTTTGGCCACATGCAGTTGATGGATCACGGAACATTGGCCACATGCAGTTGATGGATCACGGAACATTGGCCACATGCAGTTGATGGATCACAGAAAGCAATTGATTCAATTCAGGCATTCAGGCAAATATTTGTTTCCAGGTGCGACCAGTGAATGATAACAGAATCAACAATATCAAAACTGATCAGTGTTTGTTTGATACTTAATTTCTGTTGTTTTTACGGTGGAAAGTGGTCTGAAGCACTGCATACATCCAATACAGAGTTGTGTCCCTTAGGCATCCCAGAATCCCCTGTTTGAGCTTTGAAACCATACTATCCTGTTTATGAATCTGTCTGTAAATAATAGTCTTGACCAGACAATCCAGTGATTGACATCATGAGCATCGATTATTTGGGGTTATTTGGGGTACGATGACATGCGTAAACCATGTCACCGAGCCTGACCACCAGATCCCGTTAGTCACCTCTTAAGACAAGCATGGGTTGCTGAAGAACAATTCTAAACTGGATCTTTTGAAGTTGCCTAATTCGATCGCCTCTGATGACATCAATGAGGTGCTGGGAACGAACACGCTTGTAACGAACTGACTAATATAACAAACTTATTTTGAGTCCCGGCCATTTCTTGTATATGTGCTGTATATATGCTTATAATGAACAATGGTTATTACGAACTAAAATTAGTGGTCCCTTTGAGTTTGTTATAATTGTAGTTTAGTGTACTGTCAACACTCTTGATGTCACAAGTGAAATCAGTTCAACTACCCACAGTTTTCATTGAGTGGTGAGGAATACATATTTAGGACAATGAAATCCTTGTCACTGTTGCTGGTAACACAAATATGTGTAAAAGTGTAAACTCACTTTGATGTCCTTCGTCATGTCCTCCATTGCCTGCATAAATTGGGGGAAAGGCATTGTGATGACACTTGGGTCAATTTCAAAGGAAAATGAACCCTGAAATGTACTTTACTTTCTTCCTTGTTTGCCAGACTTGATGATTATGAATCACCATGACTGGCAAAGTGACATTTTCACAATCTTTCCATAAAACAGTAATTTCCAAGCCAGCATAATAAACACACGTACAATGAATAAGGCCGATTTAGGCTGTAAACAGGCAGTCACATTTGAGTGTCTTCTCTTCTGACATTTCATTGCTGTCTGCTTCAGGCAAACTGAAATAGTTCTTACGTTTTGAGTTACATGCCTTTTGCAAATGTGAGGTTGTTTGCCTTTTCTTGAGGCCAGACATATTTAATTAATTATTTTACAGATCTGTCTGTCACATTTCAGCCATCTACAAGCTGATTAACCTCTTTTCGAAAACTTCACACTCATGTCAACATTTTGACTGTTTATCATGAGAGGGACATGGATGGATGTGATGAAGATTTGTGGATCTTGGGTTCGAATCTCATGTTCGCTACGATTATGATTTTTACTTAAAGCGAAAAAATGACCCCAAAACAGTTGGTGAAAGGAACACTGCTGTTATATTCAGTCACTTTTTTTTCTTTCCAAAAAGTGATTTATTTTTTGTGTATTTTGGGGATATGATACAGTGAGCATGGTGAGACAACTATTTTGATAATTTGATAACTGATTTTAGAAGTATTAAGGTATCGAAAATGAAATAATGCATTGGCTGCGGCGCTAGAAACACTCTCGTATTTTGTTAGCCTAAGCGCCGTGAAGGCGAGGACAGGGAACGGTGTGTTATCAGCACCGAGTTCATGACAAGAGGAAAGCAGCTATTTTATTATCCAATTTGATTACACGTCCCATTAAAGAGAAATGGACATCGGCACCTTGTTGAGAGTTTTTCAAATGACCGCCATCACTTAGAGTTCCTGTCCAGGGGATATTGAACTCGTAAAGCAAAATCCCAGAATACAATTACCTCCTGTGCAGACCGACAGACCATCAATATTACCACTGTAGGTCTTGTCTTCGGTCTGTTCACGTTCAACTCAGTGGTCACTTGGGGAAACCAAAGACAATGTTGAGAGAAATCTTGCCAATCGATTTATTCCACCTTTGTATGATGGTCAGGCAATGGAAGTATTTTTGTGTTCATTGTAATGAAGTCAGTCCCACTCTTTAGGGATTATAAGTGTGGGTTTATTTGACAGTATGAAAAACATGTAATTGGCTAGTCAGATTAGGGGACAATAAATGTGGTATGATTGATTGTTTGGGAGGGTGAGGCTGGCTTGGGAGTCCTTCCCTCCCATCTCATCATACTCATCTCGGAATGCTCCCAGATCAATATTTGTCTATTTCCCTCCTTTATTCCTCTCTGTGGCAGTCCGTCTTTCAGTTTCATTTCATCAATTCCCATCAATCCTGTAATCACAGTCCCAGGTTTATCATGTTATTTCAAGTTCTCCGTCTTTATTTTCTTATCCCACTATCGTTCCATACTTTTCTATTTTCTATCACTTTTCTATACAAATTGTGCAATTTGGTTTCGGAATAGACCCATGAACCCCTGCATGTTATAAGAGCTGGGTAGTTGTGACTTTCATGATGTGGTCCAAGTGCACCCTGATGGCAGGGATTGTTCCATGCCAAACAGGGTCAGCCATCTATCGTCTCTCTGCAGCCAGAGTGGCGGGCTAGCCTAGTGGTTAAGGCATTAGCTCGTCACTCTGAAAACCCAGTTTCGATTCCCCACATGGGTACATTGTGTGAAGATTGGTGTCTCCCACTGTGCTTTTGCTGGAATATTGCTAAAAGCGGCGTAAAAACCATACTCAATCACTCACTCTCTGCGACCAATGTTGCCTAACTTTGCCTGACTTGTGGCCTGTACGATGGACACGGAATCCCTGTGCTAACACATTGCCCACCCTTTCATGAGTGAATGTATGGGAACTGTGATCTAAAGGGCTACAAATAGCTGTGCAGAGGTGCTCCCTCAGGCTACCAGGATCATCTGATTGTACGAGTTACAGATTTGCCCCAGTTTCACTGTATATCTGGAAAGTTTTGCAACATTGAGTTATTGGAGTGGCTAACAATAGCCTTGACTGCATCTGAAAAAGCCTTTACTGCATCTGAAAAATTTTGCAACACCCGGTTGATTAGATTTCCAAAGATCAAAGCTACTTTTGCACGTGTTATTTTATATTAGTCGGTAAACATCTACGAGTCACTAAGGTGGGTTCTCTACTGCTGGTTGAAACTACAATAAAATAAACTCCCTCACACACTTTGGTTAGATGCAGCTGTCATGCTTTTTTGTCTTAAATGACATCTTTGTAAACGCTTGCTGTTTTTACGATGACATCTTCCGAGCCACTCTACATCTACCAAGTTCCTTCCACCATCGATTTAACCTGTGTTAGCTCCCATTATCCATACAACACCTTGCCAAGGAACATATCAATTATCCTTCTCTCTTCAATCATGTCGCAACCCTTTGGTAAGATCCAATTCATATGCACTCGATATCGATAAGGTTTTACCTAAAGTGTCTGGGAGTGGTCCCAGCAGGGTTCTCTCCCTTGGAGCACTCTTGAACATGTTTAGTCTTCTTCACTGATCAGCAAGATGGCAACTAATCTCTCAATGCCAGCATTCCCACAGGACCTCTTTCACGTCTACAGCATCGGGGGGTACTTGTTGATGGGGCTTTTGTCCCCGATGTGTATTAATATGGCAGAAAATGTCTCGCTGAAAGAGCTGTATTTTCTGCTTCTTCCACTTCAGGTGATGTTGATGTCGAGTTCCATCCTTCTGTTTGGTCTCGGCTGCCCTTGTGATTTGATTCCTGATATTGGGCCTGGTAGCTAGGTTTGCTGTGCTCACTGGAGAGCTGTGTGAGGAGATGTGTCCACTCACGTCCACCACAACATGGAATTTCTCAGTAAAAAAATAGGACATAGTGGTAGCATAATGAAAAAGGCGGCTCATCGGTTTGTGAAGGACACGCTTGCTCATCGCAATCTTTGAACATGGCCTTCAGCTCATGCAAGATTTGACACAGCAAACTGGTCTGAATCTGTAGTGTTGTGACATCTGTTAGTGATAATGGCACCAATACATATTCTCTTGCCTGTGCAATAACCCGGGCCCGACATGGAATGTTATCACTTTTTGTTTGTAATAGAATTTATGTCTGATAATTTGTCCAGGATCCTTAGCTATGTTGTTTAAGTATTTGGATTTTAGCAATCACATACAGGATGGACAGTTTGCATACTGATCATGGTTAGGATGTGGGTGGACCAGGGGTGGGACATGGGGAAAGGGGGGAAGACCCAGGGGTGGGGGGTGGGTAGACGAGGGGTGAGACATGGGAATGTGGGCAAGACCCAGGGGTGGGACATGGGTAGACGAGGGGTGAGACATGGGAATGTGGGCAAGACCCAGGGGTGGGACGTGGGTAGACCAGGGGTGAGACATGGGAATGTGGGCAAGACCCAGGGGTGGGGCGTGGGTAGACCAGGGATGAGACATGGGAATGTGGGCAAGACCCAGGGGTGGGACGTGGGTAGACCAGGGGTGAGACATGGGAATGTGGGCAAGACCCAGGGGTGGGACGTGGGTAGACCAGGGATGAGACATGGGAATGTGGGCAAGACCCAGGGGTGGGGCGTGGGTAGACGAGGGATGAGACATGGGAATGTGGGCAAGACCCAGGGGTGGGGCGTGGGTAGACCAGGGGCGAGACATGGGAATGTGGGCAAGACCCAGGGGTGGGGCGTGGGTAGACCAGGGGCGAGACATGGGAATGTGGGCAAGACCCAGGGGTGGGACGTGGGCAGACCAGGGGCGAGACATGGGAATGTGGGCAAGACCCAGGGGTGGGGCATGGGAATGTGGGCGAGACCCAGGGGTGAGACATGGGAAAGTGGGCGAGACCCAGGGGTGGGGTGTGGGTAGAGACGGAGCAGGGTGCACTGGCTTACAGGGTTAACATAGTTAAAGATCCCTATGTGGATCCTGGGTTAGAATTGGTCCCTAGCAACCTGTCTTGGTCAGCTGTTGATTCCTGAAGTAGAAGGTTGATGGATAATTTCTCTATAATGTTGCCAAATGACCTATAGTTATGACAGTTATACTTGTTAAATGCATGTTCAGAATCACTCAGAATTGACTGCAAGAACAATAGTGGGACATGAATGTAATGGTTTCTTGGGAGGTGATTGAATGGCTGGAGTGGTCAGCCTGGTTGTATGTGTGTGTGTGTTGGACCCGCCAGCACGTGGACATGCTGATCATCATTCACTGTTTGTTTGTTCTGGATTTAGGATCATTTATAGCCTGCTGTCATATCACTGGAATTTTGGTGGTTTTTGGTGTTTTTTTTAACTTTTTTTTTTCCTTTCAAAGGGTTGTACATCAGGTTCCAAGGTTGTACAGTAGTTTTAATCAATTGTAGTAAACATACGTTACATGGATGTACATTTCTTGTGATATAAATATAGCATGTATAACTGAAATATATATATATATCTACACATGATATGTTTCAAGAAAAGCATGAAAAGTTGTACCGATAGTCAGATATAAGCATTTTTGATAGTATTGCTATTTGAGGTGTTACTGATCTATAGCATTATTGTACAGGGCATGATTTTTAATTTATGTAGGATTTTTCCCCATTTTCGTTCAAATTGTAATAGACCATTGTTTTTATGTGGCACTGGAATATTGTTGAGTGTGACATTAAAAATTAAAAATAAAAACCAAAGCATCCAGAATGTTGTACCTGCACCAGTGTTTCTGCACCAGTGTCCTTGGAATGATTTCTGAGCACAAGTGTTTTCATGGCCTTCAAGTGTCTCAAACCTCTATGATCTCCTTGGTAAATGGCAGACAAGGAAGTGCTTTCCATGACACACTTTGCAAGGCTATCTTCTCACTTCCTCTCACCCTCGGCCGAGTTCTGGAGCCAGTTGCTGAGCATCGGTCTTGATTGCCCGCTACTCCATAATTTTGTAGTTTTGAGTCATTCTGTACGTTACTCATTGACATTTTGAAATAATTCTTGGTTTGTTTGTTGTTAAACATGAAATGTCAGTCCAACAGTGAAACTTCAGCCTTACATTTGTTCAGATATTACATTTCATGAACAATTTATGACATTTCATTATAAATTTCAATAATCAGAAGCAATGTGACATATTGCAGCAAGTGACCAATCAGTATTGAGTATCACATTTACAAATTTTGAAAGTTATTACACTCGATCTTTCAACCCTTATCGGTCAAATAGTAACTACATTCTTCAGGACAATTTCCTGTAGTTAGGGGCCGGTTGCCTGATTAGTTACAGTTTGTGGCGCAGAGTTGCCTCCCTTTGGTTCCGAGTTTGCTACTGATTGGTTTGCACCCTCCTCATGCTGCAAGGTGAGATCCGCAGAAGTGTTAGTACGTCACTTAGGGCTTTCTACTGATATTAAACTGACATTCCTTTCGGACATGTACTTTTCAGCCATGTCAATCCCATCTTCCCAAGGCAAGGGAGTTAACGGACTGTCAAAGTCCAGTTTCCACCCATGCCGAACTAGGCTGGAATTTCTGGGCTTGATTGTAGTGCCACCAGTGGCTATTACGACTTACGTCCCTTCTCTATCTCTCCTATTGATGAAGCAGTTTCCAGCTATAATATCACTTGCGTTTGCTTCAAAAAAAATGGTGGCGCCCAGTCAAGACAATATGATCGATGATCAAGATCTATATTGTAATAGAACGGGTCTTACCTCGCGAAATGCATCAAATCATATGAGCACCTTGATTAAAAACATGAAAAGATTTAGAAAATATTTGTTGACGCACGTTGACTTTTTACATCCTTTGCAAATCCTGCAGTCCACTGAAATCTGCAGGTTGTAATCCATATTTTTTACAAACCGGATGTTGATTTAGTTACGCGATTTTGATTGGACTATTCATAGACTCGTTAGTCCAGCCAAACTGTAACTCCATAATACCAGCCTAGTTTGGCAAGGGTGGAAACTGGACTATTATGGTCAGTTAATTGCCTTGGCTCGGTAGGATGTGTCAATCCCACATTGTTGATTGTATGTCCTCATACTTCTTGTCTGTGAAGATCTGGGTTAGAATAGGTCTTCAGCAAACCTAGGCTTGCTGTAAAAGGTGATCGGGATCGGGTGGTCAGGCTGGCTTGGTTGATGCATGTCATCGATCCCAATTGCGTGGATCGATGCACATGATGTCAATCACTGGATTGTCTGGTTCAGACTTGATTATTTACGGACTGCTGTCATATAGCTGGAATATTGCTGAGTACAGGGTTAAACAACAAACAAACAAAATAAACTTCTTGTTGGTCTGATGTTTGGGGCTACACTGTGTGAACTGTCCCTAATGTGTCCCTGTGTGTCATTGTGTGGTTTGTCAGTCCTGCTATCAATCTGGTTTGCCTGCCCCAGACTTGATCATTTACAGGTCACTTGGTTAAAAAATATTGCTGACTACTGACTATTGCTCATACTGCCAAAGGGGTTGATTGATTGGTTGATCTTCACGGGTCCTGTCAAAGGGGAGCTGCATGACTCAATACGAGAGCCACCTCTTGGCCAGTTACCATTGGTTAGGAACTAAAAGATGAAATTCATGTCTCCATCACTCTCGACTGCTGACTATCTGTTTGCTGTTGTGATTAACTTGTGACTTGACCTTCTGTCCCTGTATCCCACCGAGAGTGTGTTTGTGTGTTCGGTCTACCCTGCTGTCGGCTGAGTGTTCCCGAAGGATGGCAGTGCAGGCTCTACTGGTCATCTTGGAACTCTCATCCTTGAGTTCAGTATCCACTGCTGTCCAGCCTAATGTTACAGAATGTTATTCTTAATGAATATTCCAACGACCTCACTTTGAGTGACAGCTCCCATTACAAGTGGCCTGGTCGGTGATATTAGATCAATCTCCACAGCTTTTCTCCATCACTGACCAGCCCAGTATCAACACACCTCACACCCAAACCTTGCAGTCCCAGCCCCCCCCCCCCCCCCCCCTCCTCTTATCTTTCTTGTCCCAATCTCCTCTCCCCACTCAGATGCAATCTCCTCAGTTGCAATCTCCCAAAAGTAATTATCTTTCTCTCGTAATCTCTTTAGGTGCTGTCAGGTAGCCTAGTGGTTAAAGCGTTCACTTGTCACACCGAAGACCCGGGTTTGATTCCCGACATGGGTACAATGTGTGAAGCCCATTTCTGGTGTCCCCTGCCATGATATTGTTTGAATATTGCTAAAAGCGGCGTTAAACATTACACACTTCCTCCCTCATAATCTCTTCTCCCCTCCAAGACCCAGACCAGATCCAATCTCCCTCTTCCTACCTCCCAAGCCCAATGCCCTCCCCTCCAAGACCAAATGCCCTCCAAGACCCAATGCCCTCCAAGACCCAATGCCCCCCAAGACCCAATGCCCTCCAAGACCCAATAACCTCCAAGACCCAATGCCCCCCAAGACCAAATGCCCTCCATGACCCAGTGCCCTTCAAGACCCATGCCCTCCAAGACCCAATCTCCCAAAACCAATTTCCTCCTAAGACCACCCAATCTTCTCCCCTCAAGACACTGCCTCTTATTCCTCCCTTCCAAACTCAATATCCCTCCTCCCCTCCTCTCACTTCGAATCAATGCAGCCTTCTCCCCTCCCATACCCAATCTCCTCTCCCCCTCCCTCTCCAGCTCCGTCCATCCAACTGACCAATCCACATTACTCATGGTACTTCATCTTGTCATTATGTGATGAAGAGAGTCATTTCTACACCATTTGCTACAAAAGCACTGCCATTGATCAGTCTGACAGATGAGGACATCACGCTGATAGGGCAGTTCCACTCGTCTCCCAGCCGGGACTGTGGAGATAGATGGGGCGAACCCAAGCATGCCCTTCCACTGATCCACATGAAACAGTTTCTCAAAACTAGTGTCTTCTAAGTGCATGATAAATGATTACATCAGCGTTGTACAGGTTTACTTCAATCAAACATCAGTCAAGTTACACACTTGAGAAATGGGAAATTGATGAGTCAATGATTGATGACCAGAAAGTGTAGTTTCATGACGAATTTGGAAACATCTTCTTGGTAAGACCACTTTTACGATTGATTACCATTATGTGATTCACCATGTTTCACCAAGAGCTCCTGTGCTGTTTCAGTTTGCTTGCTTGTTTGTTTGTTAATGCCGCGTTCAGCAATATTCCAGCTATATGACGATGGTTGTAAATAATCAAGTCTGGACCAGACAATCCAGTGATTGACTTTACGAGCATCGATCTATCTAATTGGTATACAATGACATACATCAACCAAGTCAGCGAGCCTGACCACCTGATCCCATTAGTCGCCTCTTACGACAAGCATAGTCGCCTTTTAAGGCAAGCATGGGTTGCTGAAGACCTATTCTACTCCAGGTCTTCATAGGTTGTGTTGTTTCTGAATGTAGTATCTACTGTTGGTATGACATGTTGTTTTGAGTTGATTTGAAGTATGAATTAATGCAAGACCTTCATCTGTCAGGTGGGTTATTTTAAGTTCAATAACTTCAATGTTCCAAGCAAGAACTGGTCTTTAAGGGCAAGTAAAGTGAAAAAAATTATTGCGATTTTGTTGCAATTTTCCTAGATACGGCAGTTTCCAAAAGAGAAAATTACATAATATTCGTAGAAAGTATTTGAATGTCCAAATAACAGAGCTGAAATCTCACGCTCCTGAACGGAACCCCACTAAGGGGATTTCCATATGCTACTTCCATTTTTCCATATAGTTTTGGTCAAGCATTTGTGTTGAAGTACACCCTTAAGTATTAATATCTGCAAAGTTGCTATGTTGACTTCACTTGCCCTTTAATACAGTCCATAAAGAAATGAAAAACCTTACAGGTCTGGACCCTTGCATGAAGCAATCTT